CCCCCCTTCCCCAAAACAAAAATCTCCAATTGAGGTTCACTATTATGTCCTCATTATTGGTCCAATAAATGCTCTAACAAAGATGACTTTTCTTATTATCCTTATTGTTCCTATAATTGTTGTCCTTTTGTTTTCCCCTTTTCCTCCTTCCCATGATTTACTTGATTGTTGAAAGACATAGGTTAAAAAAAAAACTTTAGCATCCCATTTATCCTCCATTTTACTTTACAGATTAAGAATCTTAAAATTTTTGCACAGCCAAATAAGTGAAATGTAGTCTATGATTTGGTTATCAATAATGAACTAAAGAGACTAACAAAGTAGATACTAATCAATAAAAATAAAGTTAGAGGTTTGTTTGGAGTATTGTTAAACCCTGAGAACTTAAAAGTTGAATACAGTGGATTTGTTTAAAAATCCTATTAGGCCACATAAGGCTAAGAAAAAAAATCAAATCTAAGTTATTCAAATTGAAGGATTTGACTTTCTATACAGAATGCATCCATGAACCTCAATTGAAGTCTATTCTATTCTTCAAACCAAATAATAGCTGAGCCAATAGATTTTTGAGTGATACACATTAATTTTGATAGAAAAGACAGAGAACAAGATGTTGAAAACATTATTTCTGATCATGAAGTACTATTCATTGTTCACTGTATGATCAGGTCCAGAGTTTTTCAGTTAGTAGAAAAAACTTATAATAGCATGTAAGACCAAAATACTTTTTAAAATATGACTAATATATTCCTATACTAGTTACAACAAAGATGTAGATCTGATAACATCTTTAGTAAAAAATAGAATATTCCATGTAAATTGGTTATTGACTTTGCACATCTTTTTAAATCACTAATATATTCCTATTATAAAGCAGAACATTGGTAAAAGAAGCTTTTGGGTATGCAAATAGAGTCCATCGAGTGCTTTTCACTTTTCTAGGTGGCATTTTGTGCTAATTTGTAGTTTGATTATATTTTAAGTACTTAAGATCATATGACAATAGACTAGAATCACGCACAATAGCAAACATACAAAATGAGCAATTAATGGATATATATATATATACCTATCTCAGGCAATTTTTCCATAAAATAAATAGCTAAGAATCATATAAAATTATCACCTGGTGAGCTAGTTAGTTAATTTATATATGTACCTGCTGAATAACAGACAAAGTGAAAGTTCAAAAGAGGTGCAATTCTATACTTTTGCAATGTCCAGATATGTGATCTTAACTAGCAAAGAGATTTAAAGAATATTAATAGACAAGAAAAGAAAAATCAAGCAAACTATCGACTATAAAATTAACACATGGTGAACCAAATCCAGGACCAAGCTTGCTTATAACAATTCAAGC